AAGAAAAAGGAAAGGCAGTATGATTTCTGTGCGTACAGAGGATGTGCAAACGGAAAATTAAGTAATTCGTCCAGCCGTAGAACACTGTTATGAAAAAAAGGTTTTGTTATGGATAAGATGCGAAGTCACCATTTGGAAAAAAAATTGTAGTATACTCTTAAAATCATGTACACTGAGCGTCATTAAACGATACCGTCACAAATTGCAGTCCGCCTTACTTTTCCCCGAAACCCAGAAATTCGGAATATGAAATGCTCATGGGCGCCAGGCACACCTTTATGCCACGAGACGGGGCATCTTCTCCTACGTTGTCGACCAGGCTAGCTAGCGCCAATGTCCCACCAAGCTCACAGGTACGACTCAGTGGGACTCATGCATTACCGTCTCACTCCCACTCATGCGTTCGAACAGGACGCACCGTACGACGCTTTCGCGTCTCGCTCGCACCATAGCACTAGCTGCGTTTCACGCACCTATCCTGGTACATACGTCCGTTAAACAGTCACTGTCCACTTTTTTCTCTTACCTCACCGCACTGCATCAACAAGCTGGATAACATTAATTACGTTCAGTGTACAATAAATTCATCTAAATAGACTTTATATTACATATGCCTTTTTTTAATAATAATTGACCACAATTTTTTATTTTTTTGAACCGTTAGAGTGGCATTACCTCTTAAAAAAATTAAACAAAAAAGTTTTCGTCTCAAGACGCGAACGCGGCACCTTACGATTACGAAGCTGAATCGTTGCCAACGTGCCCAATGCATGTTCTTCGTACATAATAATCCATAGCTGGTAGAACTGAGCAGCCTCACTTGTTGCGATACGGACTCTCATGAAGACGTAAGAGAAAAATTGACAGCAATGGAAAAAAATCTTGTTTCATTCGCTTGACGCTTAACGCTTTTGCATTTCTAACATAGATACATTTCTCCATTTCATTTTTTGTTTAAACGTGCCGTGGTCTGATTAAAAAAAAATTTGATAACGCTCGCACGTATGGCAGGCTGTTTCACTTTTCGATAGTTTAAATATTATTCAGCCGAATAGAAAAGTAGTAAAAAATGTCCCA